AACTCACGGAGCAGGGCCCTTTTGAACAGTTCGTAGTCCCCTGCCTCTGCCCCTGTCATTAGACTGTCCACCTCCACGGCTTTGGGGTCCAATAAGGGGGTGAGAAACTGGAGCCTGTCAGCAGGGTTAACCCTGTGCATCTCGCAGGCATTCTCAAAGGCCGTCAGGAAGCTATCTATGTCCTCCCCCTCCTTACGCTGGGCCAGGAAGCACTTGTCAAAGCTCCTTGCAGTCTTGGGTCCCCCCGCACTCACCACAGCCGGGGCCCCACTGCTCCTCAGCCTGGCCAGCTCCAGTTCATGCTGTCTTTGTTTCTCCTTCTCCTGACGTTCCCTCTCGTTCTGCTGCTCATGTTGACGGTGCTTTTCATGATCCTCCAGCTCCCTCATTTTCATCTCCCTCTCCCATTCCAGCCACATCCGCTCCAGGGATGGGGAGCTCCGCCGGGAGGATCCCCCGCTGGCTGCCGGGGTCAGGGTGCCCTCAGTATTCACTGGGCTTCCCCCAACCCCTCCCCCAGGCCTAGGTAGGAACGGTCTTGGGATGTCCTCGGCAGCAGTCTGACCCCTCCCAGCCCGGTCAGGCCCCAGGGCCCACGCTGCGTCCACCGGGTGGCTTCCCTCAGGGACAGGGATCGGTTCATCCAAGTTATCCCTCTCCTCCAACTGGGCAATCAGCTGTTCCTTGGTGGACCTCCCAATGCGCAGCCCCCTCTGCCTGCACAGCTCCACCAGGTCGCTCTTCAGGCGTTTAGCGTACATCTCCCTGCTGGCCACTCGCAGGCCGGGCAGCTTTCCACGGTTTCCAGGAAAAACCCGTGGGTGCCAGTCCTTCTTGAGGTCACCACCTGTTTGCTAGGGTCAAGCTGCAGACTCCTCCGCCCCTGGGACTGCTCGCTGCAATCCCCCGGGGAACCCTGTTAGTGCAAAAGTTCTTCTCTCTGGTCACACCTTCCTAGGGGTTAACCGCCCCCGGAAACCATCTCTCTCTGAATTTTCAGCACGCCTGGTCCCCGTCAATCCCCCTTTGTTTTACTGCTCCCCAGTCACTTACTGAAGGAAGTGCCGTTCACGGGGTGCAGTAGATCCCACCGCTCCCACCAGTTGTCACGGAGTGTGGGGGAGTCTGAGCCCTGCACCCCTGTTCCTGGGATTCACCGTGACTCTCAGCCAGCCAGTAAAACAGAAGGTTTATTGGACAATAGGAACACAAACTAAAATAGAGCTTGTGGGTACAACCAGGACCCCTCAGTCAAGTCCTTCTGGGGGGCAGGGAGCTTAGACCCCAGCCCTGGGGTTCCCTGCGTTCCTCCACCCAGCCCCAAACTGAAACTAAACCCCCCCACAGCAGGCCCCCTCCTGCAGCCTCTGTTCACATTCCTGGGCAGAGGTGTCACCTCCCCCTCCCTCTCCTGGCTCAGGTGACAGGCTCTCAGGTCTCCCATCCCCAGGGCCCATTCCCAGGTCAACACTCCCCCGTCCCTGCTGAGTCACATCGTCACACCAGGTATTCCCCATTGTTTTGATTTTTCCTTCCCATTTCAAGTGTTTTGCCCTGTGTCACAGAGTGTGGGGGAGTCCAGGTCCTGCACCCCTCTTCCTCGGATTCACTGAGACTCTCAGCCAGCCAGTAAAGCGGAAGGTTTATTGGACCACAGGAGCACAGTCCCAAACAGAGCTTGTGGGTACAACCAGGACCCCTCAGTCAAGGCGGATGATACTAAACTGGGAGGAGTGGTAGATACGCTGGAGGGGAGGGATAGGATACAGAAGGACCTAGACAAATTGGAGGATTGGGCCAAAAGAAATCTGATGAGGTTCAATAAGGATAAGTGCAGAGTCCTGCACTTAGGACGGAAGAACCCAATGCACAGCTACAGACTAGGGACCGAATGGCTAGGCAGCAGTTCTGCGGAAAAGGACCTAGGGGTGACAGTGGACGAGAAGCTGGATATGAGTCAGCAGTGTGCCCTTGTTGCCAAGAAGGCCAATGGCATTTTGGGATGTATAAGTAGGGGCATAGCGAGCAGATCGAGGGACGTGATCGTTCCCCTCTATTCGACATTGGTGAGGCCTCATCTGGAGTACTGTGTCCAGTTTTGGGCCCCACACTTCAAGAAGGATGTGGATAAATTGGAGAGAGTCCAGCGAAGGGCAACAAAACTGATTAGGGGTCTAGAACACATGACTTATGAGGAGAGGCTGAGGGAGCTGGGATTGTTTAACCTGCAGAAGAGAAGAATGAGGGGGGATTTGACAGCTGCTTTCAACTACCTGAAAGAGGGTTCCAAAGAGGATGGCTCTAGACTGTTCTCAATGGTAGCAGATGACAGAACGAGGAGTAATGGTCTCAAGCTGCAGTGGGGGAGGTTTAGATTGGATATTAGGAAAAACTTTTTCACTAAGAGGGTGGTGAAACACTGGAATGCGTTACCTAGGGAGGTGGTAGAATCTCCTTCCTTAGAGGTTTTTAAGGTCAGGCTTGACAAAGCCCTGGCTGGGATGATTTAACTGGGAATTGGTCCTGCTTTGAGCAGGGGGTTGGACTAGATGACCTTCTGGGGTCCCTTCCAACCCTGATATTCTATGATTCTATGATTCTAAGTCCTTCTGAGGGAGCAGGGAGCTTAGACCTCAGCCCTGGGGTTCCCTGCGTTCCACCACCCGGCACCCAACTGAAACTAACTCCCCCCCCCCAGCAGGCTCCCTCCTGCAGTCTTTGACCAGTTTCCCAGGCAGAGGTGTCACCTCCCCCTCCCCCTCCTGGCTCAGGTGACAGGCTCTCAGGTCTCCCAGTGAAACTCCCCTGCCACATTCCCAGGTCAACACTCCCCTCTCCCTGCTGCGTCTGCAGTTTCCACAGTATACATCCGATGAAGTGAGCTGTAGCTCACGAAAGCTCATGCTCAAATAAATTGGTTAGTCTCTAAGGTGCCACAAGTCCTCCTTTTCTTTTTGCGAATACAGACTAACCCGGCTGTTACTCTGAAACCTGTCTTTAGGGAATTTCATCTTGCTGGATTCACAGCAGTTTCCAATGTGCCAGCGTTGTTTTGAACTCTAATCCTGTCCTCCCAGGGCTTCCAACCCCTCCCGGCCTGGTGTCATTTACAAACTTTATAAACGTACTTTCCACTCCATTATCCACGTCATTTATGAAAATATTGAGTAGTACCAGACCCAGGACTGACCCCACGGGACCCCACTAGATACAGCTTCCCAGTTTGACAGTGAACCATTGATAACTCCTCTTTGAGTATGCTCTTCCCACCTGTTCTGCACCCACCATATAATAACTTCATGTAGACCACGTTCCCCAAGTTTACATATGAGACTGTCAGGTGGGACTGTATCAAAGCCTTACTAAATCCAAGATATATCAAGTCTACTGCTTCCCCCAGCTTTTGTAGGAAGAGAGCCTAAGAGATAAGCCTTTGTATCAGAGGCCTGGTATGAGGCCGGAGCTAAAGTAGTGGCCAAGCTTTGCTGATATGAAGCAAAGTTGGCAAAAGTCGGGCTGTGAGCAAATGCTAGGCTCTGCCTGCGAGCAAGTTCACAGACTGCGGCAAGAACAGGGCTGATCTTGCAGAAATGCACGTTCCTAAGACGTGCTCGGCACAGCGCATTCACATAGACACGTTCCAGAAGTATGGTACCAGAACATCCCAGGATCAAGGATGGTACAAAAATATTCCCCAAGGAGAACAGGAACACACTGACCCCATCCTCCTGGAGCTCTGTGAGATAATTGCTAACGGTTCGGAGACCGCTTCAGCCAGTTCCTTAGTTACCCCAGGGTGAATCATGCTGAGGTCCTAGGTGTGACGCAGCAGGGAGTGGGGCAGATTTGACCTGGGGATGTGTCAGGGGAGTTTCATTGGGGATGGGAGGCTTCCCTTGAGGGAAGAAACCTGAGCCTGTAACCTGAGCCAGGAGGGGAGTTGAGGTGAGGTGACACCTTCTGCCCGGGGAAACTGGACAAAAGCTGGAGGAGGAGCTGGGGGAAGGTTGGGGGAGATGTCTGGAGGGGTTTCCAGTTTTGGGGAGTTGGCTAAGGAAGCGGAGGGAGCCCCAAGGCTGGGGTCTAATCTCCCTGCCCCCCAGAAGGGCCTGACTAAGGGATCCTGTTTATGCCTGCAAGCTCTGGTTTGAACTGTGTTCCTGTCGTCTCCAATAAGCCTTCTGTTCTACTGGCTGGCTGAGAGTCACAGTGAATCACAGGAAGTGGGGGTGCAGGGTTCTGACTCCCCCTCACGCTGTGACACTAGGTCCTAGGGGCTGTTGCCAAGAAGAAGCCCCACCCTGCTCCTCCCACGGTAGCTGCACTTGGCTGCTGGCTGAAGTGGTCCCTGTGTGTAGGTGGGGTAGAGCCTGGGATCCTGGGGGTGAAGCTCGATAGAATGATAGAGACCAGGTGGTTGAGGTCCTTTTATTGGGCCAGTAAGAGAGATTACCTCACCCACCTTGTCTCTCTAATCTCCTGGGACCAACACGGCTACAGCAGCACTGCAAACAGAGTACAGAATGAGAGAAATATTAACTCCGTTATTATTTGTCTAACTCCCTTCCTTCCTCCCAGTCCTCTGCCCCCCGGACCTCCAGAGTGAGGTTAGATCATGAGCTGGATCCACATTCAAAGTTAATGCACAGCCAGGCCATGAAGTATTCTCTCTGCCAAGCAGGGAAGTTGTGTCTAAGGGCTGACGACGACACAGTGGGAGCCCACCAGCCTCCCCCGCACACTGAGTTCCCCAGCCGAGCGCGGGGCGTTGAATCCTGGGGTGGGTGATGAATGCACTAGTCAGGATAATAACAGCCCATGGATGTGAAATCTGTCGGAGACCAGCCAGCCCAGCCCAGGGCCCAGAGCCCTGCGGACGTGACAGCTGGCAGCCTGTGGCGTGTTAACAGCGCACATGGCTCAGCCAAGGTGCCCCAAGAGACCTCTGTTCAAACCGTGTCTCAGACCCCTCACCCCCATCGTCTTACTCCTGTGAACAGAAAAGTGTAAAGCTCCAGAAACCAAGGACACCAGAGTCCAGTTCGCACTTGAGCAGCAGTTTTACAGCCAAGGGGACTCGGTGAAATGGAGCTGCCCTGCGGGGTACCGGCCCTCACCGCCTGTGATCAGATGCACTAGATGGAGAAACCAGAGTGTCTGGAGTGGGACTGCTGCCTGCACCGGTGAGTGTGAGCCCCTGGAGTCACCGCGATCACAGGGCTCCGGCGTCCCACCCTCTAGCACCTCACAGCTCCCTAGCGACCAGCCTTCGCGCCCCCCTGCCGCTCTCCCGGCACTAGCCCCTGGCATCCATGTTGGCGGCTCAGCCGGTGTCCCAGTGTCACGGAGTCCCCGGGCGATGCTCTGGAACTGCTCCCTACGAAGCCAGGCAGGACTCTGGGGAAGTCTCCTCTCTGGGAGCAGCCTGTCTGCAGGGCACACAGCTCACCCGGCTTCCCCCTTCCTGGGTCTGACCTCGGAGCATTCAGCCTCCTCTGCCCCTCCGTGCGCTTCCCACAGCGAGTCCGCTCAGGCGGAGTCCTGGGGAAGCCAGAGGGTCCTGCCCCCCAACTCTGCAGTCAGACGGGACTCTCAGCCAGCCAGTAAAACAGAGGTTTATTAGACGACAGGAACATGGTCTAACACAGAGCTTGCAGGTGCAGAGAACAGGACCCCTCAGCTGGGTCCATTTTGGGGGGCAGTGAGCCAGACAACTCCATCTGCACTTCACTCCATGTCCCAGCCAGCCCCAAACTGAAACTCCCTCCAGCCCCTCCCCCTCTGGGCTTTGTCCCTTTCCCGGGCCAGGAGGGCACCTGATTCCTTTGTTCTCCAACCCTTTAGCTCTCACCTTGCAGGGGGGAAGGGCCCAGGCCATCAGTTGCCAGGAAACAGGGTGTCGGCCATTCTCTGTGTCCAGACTCCTGCACACACCTGCCCTCTAGGGCTCTGCAAGGATCATACACCCGTATCCCACCCCCTAGATACTTAAGAACTGCCTAGGGGAAACTGAGGCACCCCCACACTATTCAGAGGAAACATTAAGAACAGTCCCGCTTCATCACACCTAGTGACAGGTGTCCCCTTGTCTCTGGACCTGGCAGCCTGATATGTGGCTCCCTCCGCGAACACCCCCTGCGGTGTAAACCATGGGCCAGACCCAGCGAGGTGTGAGTGCAGGATCCGGGGTCACTGGCGGAGGAGGGTGGAGGGTGAGGGTCCAGACCCAGCGAGGTGTGAGCGCAGGATCCAGGGTGACTGGCGGAGGAGGGAGGAGGGTGAGGGTCCAGACCCAGCGGGGTGTGAGCGCAGGATCCGGGGTCACTGGTGGAGGAGGGAGGCAGGGAGAGCGGCCAGACCCAGCCGGGCTCTGTGGGCCCAGGTGAGAGCATGGCAGGCTCGGGCAAAGGAGGCAGCGGCAAAGCACCGAGAGGCTGGGCCTGGAGGGACGTGGGAGACGAGGCCGAGATGCTCCGGGGCAGGGTTCAGAGAGTGGAGAATCTGAATTCAGCCCTGGTGTAACCGTGACCCCAGCTCCTCGGCCCAAGTGAGGGGCTGCTCAAGGGGGAGGGTCCTCGGGGAGCAGCTCCCAGGAGCGGGCAGGGGGCTGTGGGGAGGGGCGCTCGGGGGGCTGGGATCTGTCTGGGGGACACAGGTGGCATTTGCCTCTGAGGGAACAGATCTTGCCCAGGCAGGTGTGCCGGGCTGGGTGCCAGGGGCAGGTGGGCGGCTCGGGAGACACTAAGCTGCTATGGGGACACTGGGGCAGGAGCTCAGTTGCCATAGTGATGTGTGCAGCGCGGGGACCCAGACGGGCGTATTGGGGCGTATTGGGGGTGTTCGCGGTCTGGGGTGTGGGGGAGGGACATTGGCTAACGGGGGGAGGAGACGTGGTGGGATATGGGGCACCGGCCAACAGGTGTCAGCGTCCCTCAGGTGACGGGGGTGGGGCCCGGCCTGGGCAGATGGGCTGACAGCCCCTCTCACAACATTATGGGGCGGGAGCGGTATCAGCACTGGGTGCCCCCCTCCCAGGGTGGGGCGCAGTCCGGGTCGTTCTGCTGGGAGGGGAGGACGCAGTCGTCATGAGGGAGGGATTTGCGGAGACTGGGCATTTCTTTCCCTCCAGGGGTTTGTACGACGGCAGAAAACTGGCCCCCGTCGGTCTCTGCTGCGTCCGCACGGACAGAGTTTGTCGTTGGCGAGAGGGTTTTGGTGACCTGTCGCCCGGAGCAGTACGAGGGGCGCCCGGCTTGGATGCAGTGTACGGAGACGGCTGGGCGCGTGGAGTGGGACACGAGCCATGTGGGCTGTGTGGGTGAGTTCTGCACAGACGGGCTGCAGGATGGGCTGGCGGGATTCGAACCCAAGACCTGAGGTCCCCTGCGAGGCTCTGCGCAGGTGCGAGGCCCATGGAGCTCAGGGATCTGGATGGGGTGGAGGTCTCTGCTCTCGTGACATTACCACGCTGTCAGGAGAGCAGCACCCAGGGGCCAGTTCCCATCTCAGGACCCCAACCATCGGGGTGGGCGTTTGCCCTGCCTGACCCCTCGGGCCCTGGTCGCGCCCTGCGGGGGACGTATGCCTGAGGCAGGAGAAGCCCCAGGCTGGGCAGAGGGCAATGCCCCAAGGACATAAACCTTCCCAAAAGAGCCTTGTGGCTGAATCGTGCCCTCACCGCCCGCACCATGAGCTGCCTGGGTCAGCCCCCGTCCCTGCCGGGCTCTTCCACTGTGTTCAGACCCCTGGTGCTTCCAGAAGCGGCTGAGTTCATTCACGGACCTGCCCCACAGAGGGGGCAAGTGAGCCCATGGGTCGGACCAGTGAGAGCCGGGAAAGCCCGGTTAGACCCCCACCCCCGCAGGGCTCCACAGGCCAGGCCTCGTGCCCCGGCCCTCGTTCTAAATGGCCCAGGCGAGGGGGCGCCAGCCCGTCCCTGGGTGATTATCCCCCAGCGTCAGACGTCTCCCAGCCGGGCTGCCCCAGCCCTCACTAACACCACACCCCTTTCCTCTGGCAGAGAAATGCCCCAGGCCCCAGTGGGACCCCAGACTCCGGTTTGTGCCAGACCGGCCGTTTTATGGCCAGAATGAACAGACGACACTGAGCTGCCCTGGGGGGTCCCAGCCTTCGCCCTCTGTGATCAGATGTGTGAGACAGGGTCAGACCTGGAGTTACTGGGCTAGGTGGGACCGGGGCACATCGCTCCCTACCACAGGGAACGTTACCTGTCCAGGTAAGTGAGGACACAGCGGCTCTCGGCCCTGGCCAGCTCCCTGCTCGCGCGGCTGGAAACCCAGCTGGGGCGTGGGGTAACTGAGAACCGTCTGGGAGCGCACAGAGCAGGGGAGCGGGGAAGGCCTGAGGTCAGGGGTCAGTGCCTGTGAGAGGAGCCCACGAGGCCAAGGCACATTGGGGGGATGGCGGGGGGGGGCTTTAAGGGTATTTTTTAAAGACTTGTAGCACTTGAAGCCAGCAAAGTCCCCTTGGGCCCAGCCAGCCCATCCCCAGGCCAGGGCAGGATTGTTCCCAACAGGGAGTTCCCCAGCGTTCTGAGCGGCCCAGTGTTAACTGCTCCCTCCACACCCCCAGAGAGGATGCCACTCCTGGGGGGCGGGGGTGTCCCTGTCAGGACGTCTGTCACAGAAACAGGCGGCGCCAGGCTGGACCGGAGCTGTGCTCCATCGAGCCCCGGATCCTGGGTCCAAACTAGCAGCTTCAGACAGAGACGTAGGAACCTCCCAGGAGGGAGCGATGGGGTCACCTGCCCCAGGGAGAGTCCCCACCCCCCCAGTCAGAGGTTGGCTCATGCCCTGGAGCAGGAGGGGCAGGTCTGCTCCCAAACATTTCTCCTGCTGTTCAGTCTAAGCTCTCCTCGTTCCACCCGGTGCGCCCAGCTACAGTCCCCCCAGATCAAGGCTGTCTGCAGACTCAGGCAGACATCACCGTATCACTCACACTCAGGGCACTTTTCAAGTTCTTCTTTGCAGCCCACCGAGCTAGAAGCAGTGTTTTAATGAGCGTTGGGATTGTCGTCATCCGTGACAGGGCCTTAGGCACGCGCCTGCAGTGCCTGGGCCATAAACCAGCCCTGCCCGGGGCATGTCCGGCCCCTCTGACAGGGAGCCGCGCCCTGGGAGCCCAGCAGCACCCCCTGTTTTCAACAGCCCCTCAAGCCACTGTGAGTGGCCTCTCGGGTAATATTTAAAAACCACACACTCCAGCAGGAATGCTGGAACCACCCCTGCTCTGCCCCTTCCCCCCAAGACCCAGCCCCGTTCGCTCGCTGCTATTCCCCTGTCTCCCCTGCCCGGGTGGGGAGGGACTCGCCTGCGGAGCCACCGCTGGGAGCTGCAGCGCCCGACACAGGTAGGAGGCAGCCCCGGCTGAGGAGGGGCTGGCGCGGGTGGTGACTGGACTTTGCGTGTCCGGTCAGCAGGTCTGACAATCCCAGCATGCACTCTGCTGCCGCTCGGGACCGCATGGCGCAAGGCCTGTAGTCTCCATGGGCTGCGTCCCTGTCCCACTGCAGCCTGCATGTGCCCTGGGGCAGGGAGCTCCAGCTTCCAGCTCCCTCAAAGGGCTGTGTCCTGCTTGGCTGCCGAGCGACGGAGGTACAGACGGGAGCACCGGGGGTGTTTGCAAAGGGGGTGAGGTTTCCTGGAAGAAAAGGAAATCAGGCTTGGATCAGAACCCCCTCCGGGGCTCAGTTAGGCGATACTGATGGTAATCCTGTGTCCTCTGTGGTGCCTTCCACCCGAGGAGCTCAGATGTTGGTGGGTTTGGCCTCTCACCCCGCTGTGGGTGGGGAGCAGGGGCTATTTGACTGGAATGCCTTTGCAGAGCTCTGTGCATGCGGAAGGGGCAGGAAAGTAACCCTCATGCTGGTGCTTATTCTCTAGTGACCCCCCGGATCATCCCAGGGGCCCTGGAGATTTCACCCGCCACCATCAAACTGCACTGGACTTGTGAACCCCCCGAATCCTGCCAGGGCAGCTGGAAGATACGGGCCCAATGCTGGCTGGTTGGACCCCTGTCAGGCCCCTGCCGGAGACCACAGCACACCACCAGCGAGCAGCCATTACAGGGACTGGAAGGAACAGTAACGTGCAGCTCCCTGCACCCCTTCACCTCCTACAGAGTCACCATCTCTGGGGGCTACCCAGCGACCGTCCTTTATAGCCAGCAGGTCCACACGAGTGAAACAGGTAGGGGAGGTGGGGGAGTCACCCCGTGGCTGTGAATCCTGGGCTCGCTGCTGAGCATGGGGGCAGACGGGCCTCTGTTGCTCTGCAACTCAACCCGCCTGTCCAAGCAACTGAGCAGGCTTAGCTGGTGATCGGGGCCCTGCCTGGAGGTTGGAGGGGGGGCTCAGGAGAAAGGGGTGTGGGGCTCATTACAGTAAACAGAGTCCCCCAACCGCATCTCCCTCCCCATCTCCCCAGAACAGCCCTGTGGGGTGAGCCTGGAACCTGAGGCTCGGTGTGGGGGGATCCCACGGTGTGTTCGGGGCTCTGAAGGCCCAGGCGTGGGACGGTTGGGAGAGGAGCCACTAGCTACCCTAGCCCAGCTGGTCGG